CTGTTGTACTTCAACCTCCTTGCTTCCTATTGAAAATCTGGTAAGAGTGCATGAGAACCTCTTCTTGCATGGCTCTAAAGAACGAATTCCTTCCAACAAGTGAATTAGTCATTGCATTGTCACTAGTCTTAAATGAAATCAATTCAAACCCATTATCCCCTACTTGATTCACTACAGCAAAGTTCTGTGAAACAATAACTACTTGGCCTTTACAAAATTGTCCATCAAAGATAGTCTCACCATATTTGCCTCCCTATGGACCATTGACCATTAATTAGATGTAAAAACAGTTTTCTTTTTCAAGTTAGTTTAGTTTTTATTTCTATTTCTATCATTAATAAAAACAACTCTTATCAATCACACTTATCATTGTTTAATATGATGAGTTCATAATGTTAAAGATGCACTCAAATGTTTTTTTACAAGATTTCTATGTTTTTAATAATTTTTGTTTCTCAATATTTTTTTTAATTTTTATTCTTTATTTATGATATCATGGGTTGATTCATTTGCCTTAAAAAGGTTGAATCATTGACCCACCACTTGAATAGGAAAATGGTTTCATTTTTTGATCAGTTTTGAATCTTATATTTCATTTCCATTGAATACAAATACTTTTATTTAGAATGCTTAATGTTGTTTGATATAATAAATAGATAATATTAGAGATGTACCTACAATTTGTTTTAAAATAGGTAAGGTATAACTTATTAGAAACAAAGAAAGCAGTATACAAAAAGTATACAAAAGACAAGAGGCCAAATTCGAAATTGGCCTAACAAAGAAATCGGGAAAACCCACCAAGAAAAATAAAAAACCAAACCTAAAAAAACCAAAAACCAAACCAGTGGACCCATACCATAAGACAAGGTACTATAAGACAACAAAAAACCCCCACCCAAGGTAAAAAGAAAAACCACCTTGATACTTAACCTCTTCCCTTCCTTCCTCTTCTGCCTCTTCCACGAATGTTGCGTGACCCCTTAACAAAGGGTTTGACCACTGCATCACCATAGAGATCCGCAATTGCCTTTGACCTTCTGCTACCAGTAAGACAACCCAGGTTGTCAATGGAGCTATTAGAGACAACACTATCAGTCTCTATACCTCACTCCCCGAGTTGAGGCCCAAAGAAGATGTGCCCACATTTTTTCACAATCTTTTAAAATTTCCGCAGTATTTATATTTATATTTATTTTTAAATTTTTATTATTTAATTACGAGAAAATTGGTTGACCCATTTGATACCGATGGTATGAACTATTTACTTGCCACTCAGACAAAAGGGTGGTTTATTTAATTATTTTTCATGTTGGTTTTGAACATAGTTTACAATATTAAAAAATATTAGATATAGATTTACTTTGTAGAATTTATTGGTGAGAACATGGTTTTTAAAAATGAACCGGTGACCGAATCGGTCAGGGGTCCGGTTACCGGTTCGAACAGTCTGACCGTTCGACCTAAACGGTCGGCCCGTTCTGACATAAAAAATAAAAAAATAAAAAAATTTGGAAAACGGTCAAAACCGTTCAAACGGTTAACTGGCCAATTCAGCGGTTTGCTAACCAAAATCGACGGTTTTGAGGGAAAAAGTGGGTTTAGAGGAAAACAGAACCGATCAAGTGACCGGATCCCGGTTTTTCTGGTCCGGTCTGGTCCGGTTTTGAAAACCATGGGTGATAAACAAAAATACTTTAAATAAAGTATCTAAGGAGAGAGAATGAGAGTTAATACCTTAATGAAAGGAAATTTAGTAAAGTGAAAGTTTAAATTACATTTTTTACCTATATAATTAATGAGGGATTAAATTCATAAATAAGGGTATTTTAGTCAAAAAAATTCACAAAATTTATTTATTTAGTGCGCCTTAAATATAAGATTTAATGAAAAGAATGGGACTTAATATAAGACTTATTGATGAAGAATATATTATATCTTATAAAAATAATAGTTCAAATTATGTTTTCTCCCTCATAAATATAGGGAAATCAAATTCAAAGAGTAAAAGTATTTTACTCAAAAAAATCTAAAATCTAAACATAGATTATTAAAAGCCATTCTCCTGTTATATCGTAATAATAGGTTTTAGAAAGAATGAAGGGTTTTCGGTGTCATACCCATTATAGTTGTTGGAAAAGACTTATTTATATCAATATTCCAGCTAGTAGGGGTGTCAATTTTTCACCCAACCCGCTGAACCCACCTAAGCCACCCAGCATCTAACCCACCCAACCCGCCCATTTACTTGGCGGGTTGGAAATGGGTTTGATCACCCATTGGGTCAATTTAAATGGGTTGGGTTGGGTTGGGTTGTGGATAACCATTGGGTTAACCACTAAAAATATAATTATTAATTTCTTAGTCTTTTTTTTAATTTTCTTCATTTGAATGAAATAATTTATAATTAATGTATTAATTTTCTATTAATTATTGACTAAAACTAGTTTTGCCTCAAATCAACACACTTCACCCAAATCCACATAAATCCAAATCAATTTGACCAGAGTCCAAACCAGCTCAACTTGATCTAAATATGAACAAACTCGATCACCTTAGTTCAGTTTGTTTGGGTTGGTCAGCCCAGTCCGAACCCGACCCGACCCATGGTATGCCGAGCCGGGCCAACCCGAATTCGAAATGGGTCAGGTGGGATGGGGCTTGAACCCTAAATCCGCCCGCTTGCTTTGCCCAGTTTGGATTGTCTGGTCCGGATCATATCTGTACAACCTAACCCGATTTCGGACTAGTCCGATTTACTTCTCTTGACCCACTTTGGGCCAATCGGTTTGGTCCCAAACCCGTGCACAAACCTAATATGGCTTAGTCCAAGTCAATCTGTCATTGATTGAACTGGTCTAGTCTGGTTCGACTGAACTTATCCAAATCTAAACGGTTCAAGCACTCTTGATGTGATTAGCTCGAAGACAATCCAATTAGATAGTTCAAGTTGGTTTGACTGGTTTGAAACTAAGTGGTTTGGTCAAATCCGAGACCTGAGCATAGTCAAATGGCTTCACCGCTTGTGTAAAAATAACATGCATGTAATGTGATTTGAACCTTCAATACTTGTGTAAATAGCAACTAGTAGGGCAAATTTCTTAAAGTACCCCTAAGGTTTAGTTAATTGACTAACTCCACCCTTACTGTTTGACTATTGTCTTAAAGTACASTTACTGTTTCTGACAATTGACTAACACGTCCCTTACTGTTATGTCCCCATCACGAGCCGTTCACATGTGACATCACATGGTTGATTTATCATCAAATAATACCAAAACTACATTTGAATGGGCAAAAATGTCCTACCCTCATCAATGTCACTTCCTCTGTCAAGAAACCGTTACTGTCATTCACCATTGCAACTGCGGGTCTAGATGTAGTAGGCACGTTAGGTAAGAACAATGAGTGAGCACGTAATAGTTGTGTGACACATGTCACAATTAATGTGCTTTTCATCCAAATGTTTTTGTTCCGTTAGGCAAAAATTATTCATTATTTTATTATTTTTGTTAAAATAATTAAAAATAAAAACAATGAAAAAGGAAAACCTAAACGTATTAGGAGTTGGGACTCATTTATATTTTTTTTCATTATTTTTTTTATTTTTAATTACTTTGACAAAGATAATAAAATAATGAATAATTTTTATCTAACAAACAAAAACGTTTGAATGAAATGCACATTAATCAAAATGTGTCATACAGCTATTACGTGCACACTGAATGTACTTACCTAAGATCCCTACTACATCCGGACCGTGCAACTACTGTGGTTCTCTGTTAAATCTGATCCGCTAGTTTGGGTAAAAAATAGAATCTCCCTCCCTATTATCGTTTCTACCCGCCACCGCTGCTGCAGAAACGGGAACAATAATAGAAATAAACAGAAACAACGTGTGAATTGAAAATAATCAATCTCTTCGGTGGCTCCATCTATTAAAGTTTATTCTTCAAGATTTGATGGCCACTTGTGAAATCTCTAGCACTACCGGATCATCGGGGTTTGGGTCTATTCCACCACCGTAGATAATGAGGGGACCACCACCTCCACCTAAGTTAGTTGATTACCATAACACAATCGGTCACTATTCACAAATGCCGGAGCCGCCAAAGGCTCCGAAGGAGTTCAGATCATGTTTCCAAGGGGATGTACTGTAGAACATTGTGGGGCGCCCCCACGTGAGGCGCAAATGTTAACTCCCGAAGAAGACGACCAGTTATGGAGATGTGGAGGGAGGTATATAAGAAAATATGGCAGGTCGTGAAGTGCTACCAACTGGCTTCTCAGCTGCAGATTCGGCAATGATCTGGCAGGCCATGAATTGCTTCAGCCTTTAGATGTTTTATAATTTCCCTCTTGGCAATGATTTGGCATGCCAGTGCCACGGAGAGCTTCTGGTGAAAACGTTTTCTTGGAAATGGGTTTTGAGGCGGAAGAGTGAGAGGAGTTGAGGGAGCTTCTGGTGAATAAAGGAATGGACCAGGCGATGGTTGTATGAATGAAGCTAATTGTTGGCTTTGGCAATGATGGAATGATAGTTAGACGACGAGGGCTTTTCACAGTGACAGAAATGCAGGAGAATCACCTTTCTTCATCTAAGTCCTCAAATTTCCGCCCCTTTCTTCAGATCTCAAAGTTCAGGAATTAGCTCATCGCTTTAGTGTATTGATTTTTTTTTCTTTTGATGGTTGAAGCTAGAACATCGAATCTGTGAGGGAAGGAGAGCTGGATTTGTGGCAACAGAGGCAACAGAGCCTCGACACGTGGAGCCACACAAGCGAAAGGAAATGCAGGGAAAATACTAAAAGAGAAATGCTTCTGCGATGAAAATCGCTTACCCAGTCTTTCTAGAGCATATCTTTTTAAAATACAGTTAATGGACTATGCATGTTGGGATAATCTGGTTCCGGTAATGGCCCAACTAATGATACAAAGTTAATGGACATTGGCCTATTAATGGCCCAACTAATTGAGCTGAAATAAATCAAGGTCCAAAAGAGAGAAAATTTGTGCTTTATTTATTACCCATGAAGACAAGTTACAAAACTCTTGATACAAAGTTGGAACAATTAATCCATACCCACTTCCACGCTTGCTTATAAAACTTGATTATTCTCAACCTAATTTGCCTTCACAGCTATTATTGTTTTACACCATAGAAAACTTTCAATTGGATTCAAAATTTGGTGACAAGATACCCATTTCCTCTCTGTTGTACTTCAACCTCCTTGCTTCCTCATTGGAAATCTGGTAGGAGTGCATGAGGACCTCTTCTGGCATGGCCCTAAAGATTGAATTCCTTCCAACAAGTGAACTAGTCATTGCATTGTCACTAGTCATAAATGAAATCCATTCGAACCCGTTATCCCCTGCTTGTTTCACTACAACGAAGTTCTGTGGAACAATAACCAGTTGGCCTTCACAAAGTTGCCCATCGAAGACAGTCTCACCTGAGTTTCCAACAATCTGAACTTGGGCTTCACCCCTAAGAACGTATACCACACTGTGTGCATTTATATTCCAATGAGGAGACAATATAGCATTCTGTACAAATTATCGAAGTGGGTTTAGTGAATTCAACACAGCACCAATCCAAATTTATATTAAAAACCATTCAATTAATCAAACAAGAGAGAGATTTATTTCCTTAAACACCACCTACCTTGTAGAGATGGCCTCTCTGGGCACTGAGTTGATAGAAGCCAAGAATAGGGAGGTTTTGGCTATTRAGAGTGGTAAGACGTCCACCAAATGGTGTGTATACATCAGACCTCGTGGCTTTTCCAATATTTTGTCTAAGCCTCATGTTGCAAAGAGCTTCTTCCAACCCATTTTCATTGCTTTCTTGTTTTCTTTCTTGCTCTTCACTCAATATTGGTTTTATCACCTCAAGTCCTCTTTCAGCCTGGATGATAGGTCCCCTTTGGTCATTTTCACCTTGTAGCTTTCTCACTGTCTCCTTTCTCACACCGAAAGCCTGAGATAATAGCTCAACATCGATGCCACTAAATATGTTGCTAGAGCTCTCTTCCCCAAATTTCTCACTCCTAGATGATGATTGTCCTCTTTGTTTTTGTTGTTGGTGCTCCTCTTGTTCTTGTACATTACCAGCAAGCCAGAAATTCTTAACATGCATAATATAAATTAGGAAATAATTGTAAGCCTTGGAATATGCATCCCTACATAAAATAAATGTACGAGAGACTGAGTTAATTTCCTTACGTACCCTCACTTTCTCATCAAGCTGGTTGGCATTGTTTCTGGTGTCGATTACGACAACTGCAACAATCGGTGTATCACCGCCATTATAGGCCCAGTAGGCAACTCCCTCTGGTACAAGAAGGGCATCACCTTCCTTGAAGAATCTCAACTTCTGGTGAAAGTCCTCAGACCTTTGGCTTTTACTGTGTTGATCATCTGAGCTTTGGCTTCTACTACTTTGATCCTCTGATTGTTGACTTCTGCTTCTTTGGCTTCTACTATATTGGTCCTCGGATTCTTGGCTTCTACCGCTTTGATCCTCTGATTGTTGACTTCTGCTTCTTTGGCTTCTACTATATTGGTCCTCGGATTCTTGGCTTCTACCGCTTTGATCCTCTGATTGTTGACTTCTGCTTCTTTGGCTTCTACTATATTGGTCCTCGGATTCTTGGCTTCTACCGCTTTGATCCTCTGATTGTTGCCTTTTGCTACCTCGACGTCTGCTCTGTTGATCCTCAGATTCATGGCTTCTACTGCTTTGATCCTCGGATTCTTGACTTTTGCTACCTCGGCGTCTACTCTGCTGATCCTCAGATTCATGTCTTCTACTGCTTTGATCCTCGGATTCTTGGCTTCTACTGCTTTGATCCTCTGATTGTTGACTTTTGCTACCTCGACGTCTGCTCTGTTGATGCTCGCATTCTTGGCTTTTACTGCTTCGATCCTTTGATCCTTGAGTACTGCTACTGCTACTGCTATCTTCATCTTCGGACCTTTGGCTCCTACTGCCTTCTTCCTCGAATGGATGATATTGTTCAAATGATTGGAATGTTTCAGGGCAGCCAGGGATTGATAATCCTAGAACTCCCTCACCTGTGAATCCATGGATTACGAGCCCATAAGTCATAACAAATATATGGGTAGTATAAGATAATATAACATAAAAAAAATTAAATGGGTTGTTAGTAAGCAATTAATATGCAAAAGATGGATGGATTAAGAGAGCTGGCCTTTGACAACATAGATCATCTGAGGTGTATTTTGGTAAACAGGCAAGGAGAGGCCCTTTGGCTGAATTGTAACACGATAAGCTGCAACCCCAGCACACTGAAACTGTTCATTGTTGTGGTCCCAAATTTCAAGATGTCCAGCCTCAGCCTCAATCCTACGGGAGGGTTCAAGGGCATCAAGATTACTGATCTGGCATTCACTTTGCTGTTGTTCTCCTTGGAACTGGCGTCTGAGCTGTATGATCTGGGCTTGATTTTTGAACTCTCTTACTGCTAGGCAGCCATGAAACAAAACAAGGAGACAAAGACCAAGAGAAAGCACACAAGATTTATCCATAATTAATGAAGAGGAAAAACTTTTTTCCACTACCGAGCTGTGGTGAAGTGGAGAATGGGATGGTTGGGTATTTATAGAGAGGATTGGTGAGTGAGGAATTGACATCTTTCATCAATGCTCTTCAGCCACTCTTCACAGTGCATGGCAACCTTGGCCTCTTGGCCAACACTTACCAATTTGAATCAGGGAAGGTGCAATGTTGATGTCTTTGTACTTAGAACAAGTGTAATAAATTACAGTCTTGTGTGTCCATATTTTGAAGAGAGAGACAGACAGATATATTTTGATGAGATAGAGTCTATCATCTTAAATAAGCCTTCCTACTACGATGGCAGAGAAATGGTGCATTGATTCATCAAGTAGGGTTAGATCATGATTTCAAAAAATGGGATTTATGAATCATGACTATTAGAACATCCATGAAAAACAGAACAGTATGACATACACCTTAGCTCCCAGGCATATCCATGTCCGGGAGCTACTGCTCTTGTCATCAGACGTTGTTGTTGTTACGACATTTTGTAGTTTATTGGCCCACTGTTTCATGCAGAATTCTGAATTACAGGCCCCATAGTCTACTAGTAGCCCCCCTTATAAACCACATCTGTCCGTGAATTTGACATCAATGTTCAAGATTCATATCCTGTACATTCATGGTCAGGATTCATTCCCTGTACGGTGGGGATGGAAAAGTCTGATCTGGACTGATCAGTCATTCTTCTTATATATGTACTCCATCGGCTGCCAAAATGTCAAATTTAATTCAAGACTAATGGTATTCATGTGCCTAGAATTTGGGTTCTGCGGTCTGTTTCGTGATCCGACCCGGCATTTGTAGAAAATAACTCCAAGGAAAATTTTTTCAATTGCTTTCAGATTTTGTGTTGTCATTTCCTCAACAATTGACCCCAGGAAAATGGTTATGGGTTTCCTGCACCCTATATACTTACCTTATACATTTTAATCCCATTTTTTTTTAAACCAACCGACTGATCAGTAGAGCCAAAACAAAACATGTTCTTCAAGTTTCAAAGCGAAAACCACTAGATCCTACCTGCCTCCTTAAACCTCTCAATTTGTGTTCACCCCAAAACATGTAGTGGGTTGGATTTGGATAATCAAAACCCTTTTCTACATGAAAATGCAAAATCCTTTTCGCATTCAAGGGTAGAGGTGCGTTAATCTGCATATAATTCCTATTATTATTATTATTATATATATATATATATATATATATATATATATAATATACATGGGATCAGATCTTATTGGATCGGATAGGGGGTGATCCAAATCCGACCAAATAGGATCCAATCTTAGATCATGTTTGCACCCCTAGTTAGACATGTTGTAGTTTATTGGTCCCACTGTTTCATGTAGAAAAAACCGGAGAAATAAAAAGATTGATTTAGAACTAAGCAGCCTATTCGCGCAGAAGAAAACTTGCTTTGAGAGCAAGCTCCGCCGAGGGGGGACACTCTGTCCTTTGGGGCTGACTGCTGCAGCCATGTGTTTGATGTTTTAAGTCCCGTTTGGTTCGTGGGAATAGGGTCTGAATCGGAATCAGAATGAGTTTTTTCAATGCCCAACTGTTTGGTTAGGTGGAATTGCAATCTCATTCCCTTTCTTGATGGAATGGTATTCTCCCATTTGAGGGAATGACCATTCACTCCCCCTCCCTTGAGAATGAAATCCCATTCCAACTGAATCTAATTTTTATTCCAGTTCCTGTCTGAACCCAACAGACCATTCTGATTTCAATTGCTACTGCAAACCAAACAGACCCTTAGGTTTTAATGTCCATGAAAGTATGAAACCCGCACATAGTGCTCATATTATTCAATTTTGAATGATTGGGCCACCATCCCAAATTATAGATTGTAATACTCAGGTAAAACACAAATGGATCTTTAAGACCAAAAAGAATTTAAGGGTTTGTTTGATTTGCAGTTAGAATCTGAATCCTTCAGAGTCAATAGGAATAGTCTATTCCTCCGCCTGGTTCAGACAGCAATTGAAATCGACTGGAATAGATTCTCATTCCCAAGGGAGGGTGAGGGAATGGCTATTCCCTCAAAAATGGTTCAAACGGTTTGTCTAATTCAGATTCCAGATCCCCATTCCATCAAACCAAAAGGACCCTAACATTGTCCCAATACTCTCATAGTTCCAATGGATAGAAGCCCTCCTATCTGCCACTTTCTGTTCACAGCCCAAGCCAAAACAATCAAAGCAAAACTTCACCATTGAGATAATTCTGTTGGTCCACTCTATATCTCAACACATTGTTCAGACGATGGCAAGGATCTGAAGTTCCTTTATAGTCTACATAACACAGCCTAAGTAATATATCTTCGGTGGTAAACAATCAAACTGGAAAATATGCAAGAAGATAGGGACGGTTAAAAGGTCCGGAATTGGTGTATTATTTATTAGATTGCTCTAAGGTAGCTTTGCTCCATAAGTAGTACACTGTTTAGATGGACCAAATAAATGAATTGACCAGTTGAGGTTAATGCTGATGGGGCAATTAGGGATGAAGATACTGGCAACTACCTGAGACTGGGCAACAAATGCCCCAACTACCTCTCATGCCCACAAGTAACGACAATGGGTCTGAAATGATACGAGGATGCAATGCTCTGTTTTTTCAAGCACATACCACAAAGTAAAATACAATAATAATTAGATGTTTCTGACAAGCTGCTTCTCGGGTCAAAAGATCGGAATGTAAAAATGGTGATCAAAGGGGAAGGACCAGTACTTCAAGTACATCAATAGAGAATAGCTAGCCTGTAGTAACTAGTAAGTTTAAGCAGTTGAGAACTTGAGATACCACCACTATCAGTCTACCACCAAATTCATGATTCATCTAGCTACTAAAAGCTACATCTCGGATTGTTGGCTCAGAACCGGCCCCCTTATGAGTTGGAATGAGGCACATGACGCCCTGTGCAAAATATAATGTATCCTGCAGACCATTTCTTAGGAAGATTGGTACAAATTGCAAGCCTAGTAACCAATAAGAACTGATGAACCACCATGGTTTCACCATTTCTTTTGAATTCAATTGTGCTTTCCACTTTACAAGAAATTAGATGACGTAGAAAAATTTGCATTGCAATTCAGTTCTCTGAACCCGTCAACCTCCACTTTTAGCAACTTTTCTTAGTTCAATTTGGCCGGTCAATGGACACTGCATCTCTGTCCAACTTATAGGAACCATGGTTGCTCCTAGAATACCACAGAAAAATCATAAGTCCACATACCATACTAAACCCATATTGAAAGATAATACCTACCATAGTACTTGAATATAATTTATCTAGTGCAACCCAAAATGACAGGATATAGTATTGCCTACACAGTTTATTTACTAAATATCTTCACATTTCAAAGGCATAAGTTGACCAGTCACAAAAGCTCAACACTGAAAATAATCGTCAGCATTGTCCTTTGTCCATGCAAAAGTAAAACTCAGCATTATCACCAATGTAAGTCATAGTGGCACTATCTACTTTTCTTCATCATCAGCAAACCATTTTGTCTATTTGCAAGAGACTTCGACTGCAGTAATGGAAAGAGTAGTCAGCCAGCTCAGATGCCTCCATCTAAACGTGTTTCATCACTATTTATCTTGATTAGAACATTATACTTATGAGTCTTGATCTAATCCTATTTCCTTACAGAACGAGTCATCGAATGTTGTTCCACCATGGAATGTTTGAAGTAGATGAGGATGTTGATTCCACATGGTTCCAACCAAATACCCTCCTTAGGYCCAAATTTCTATAAAAGGTCTTAATACCACCACGTGATTTTTAGAAAATATGAGATGTTAACCACTTTTAGGTATATAGACCCAAACCTGGCCACTGCAATAAGGTCAATGAGTAAACATTTTGAGACCTTGGTTTTCACATCTCCTAGTTGCAAGACAGGGAGAGGAGCTTTGAAGGAGACTCAAGAATTTAGCATGAATAGAATGAATCCCTCCTGTAGGACTTAAATGGATGTGGATCATGCTATGATCTTTAATAGAAAAGGCAGGATAAGTATTCACTCTAAGGAAGCTAAGTGTTTTAAAAGCAATAGGCATAACTAAAGTGCAAGGGTTCCTAGTGCCCAAGGTAAAAGGTAATAGGAGATAGTTTAATCGCTCTATACTCAGGACTGGTTGAGGAAGGAGACTCTTAGAGCAGAAATATTGGCTTTGATGGAAGGAGTACAAAGAGCAAGAATGTTGAACATTAGAAGATTAGTTATAGAGGGAGACTTTAAATTGGTAGTGAGCTGGCTACAATGTGATGATTTGTGGATGTGGATTTACAGCACCCTAAAAAATAAATTTAAATGGATAATAAAAGACATGGAAGTGACAATTCAATGGGTTAAGTGATGTGCTAACTCCAAAGAAGATGAATTAGCCAAACAAGGGGTGCAGAGGCCAAGAGGGAAACTCTTTTTTGGCTCAGTTGTAAGACAGGAATCATGCATTAGCCAAACAAGAGATTTTGTCTCTCACTGACTATATGTAATTTGTACTATCTGTATCTACCTCTTCTTTTTCTATTAATGAAATGTCTGCAGTCATTGTCATTGATCAAAAAAGAGGTTCCTAGAGCCTGAAGCAAAAGGTGCAAGGCAAGGTGCACACCTGACCATAGGTGCCACTTAAAAAATCAAAAGAGTAGTCTAACATACAAGAATAAGCAAATCTAGATTCTGAAAGAAGTAAAATATTTCAAAAATCCTATTAGCTCAATAGGTTATAACATTATGTTATTAAAATGAAAGGTGTAGCCTTGTACATTGAGGTTCTAGATTAGGGGTAATCATTCTTGGCCCGGCCCGGCCCAGCCCGCAAACTCAAGCCCAGAAAATCCAGGGCCAGACTTGGGTCTAATACTTCAAGGCCAGCCTAGACCCGGCCCGCAATATATATGTATATACTTATTTTTATATATTATAACATATGTATTATATTTTATATGTTATGTATACACAAGTCTATTTTATTTTATATTAAATTTTTATTATTTTATATAAAATATAAAATTTTTAAGTTTTATTTTTGAACATATAAATAAATATTTATGAATTGAAACGTGTCAACACATGTGCCAACTCTTGAGTCAATTTAAGTATGTGAATTGTCCTCCTAAGAAAGCCTTATAATGATGTAGGCAAAGCCTTCATTTTCATTCCCTAAGCAATGTGGGACTTGGGAAAACACTCAATGGTTGCACTAACCAGTTAGTGTCGTTCCAAGTCTGACATTGCTCAAGAATGGGAATGAAGGACTTGCCTTCATCTATGAAAGGATAGGTAACCCAAGCCAAATCAAGCCTAGCAATTAAATGAGGCCCATGCCTAATCTTTTGTGCATAGGCCTAAAGCCTAGCCAATCCTAGTTTAACCTGTGCAATTTTTTTGTATGTATTATATTCATACATAGGTACAAACCTACAAATTATTTGATGTTATGAGCCCAATTTCATTATTCATTAGGCCTGGAATGCCCATAAGCCCGGCCAGGCCCAGCCCATGATTACCCCTATCCTAGATAGGATGAACTGTTTAAATATCATAGGTACAAACCTACAAATTAGTACCTAGCCATCAAAAAAAAAAAAAAAGAAACCTAGAATTTAGTAAGCTACCTATTCAACATAAAATTCAGGATTAATTCATCAAAACATAGTACCTAGCTAGGTGAGACACAACTAGGCACTAGTGAGGTGCAACCCACAGAATGAGCCTCAACTATACAATTAAGCATATCTGAGAATTGCCTTTTAAAACACTAGGGGTACAACTGGGGATTTTATTCTGACTAAAGAGGATCTTATTCATGCAGAAATAAGGACATCAGGGGATGTTTAAACTGAAGAAATGAAGATTACGGAATCTGAGTAGCCATCCAGTTGGCCAGACATCATAAACTCAATATGTTCATAGAAATTGATCTCATGGAGCAGCGTGATGCATCATCAGGCACATTAAAGCACCCAGCAGGGTGTATTATGCATAGGTGAATGATATTCTCCTGACTTGTTTAATGTCTACTATTGTGCATACGACACAATTTGGACCTAGACAATATAATGTAACAGCCCATAAACTAGTATGCCAAACCTGTCCTCTAACAAAAATATAGCAAAGACAGATGGTCCTCCATGATGGGAATAAAACAACAAATTAAATTCTCATGCTTATTATGACCTTAAGCCAACCATCATTGCATTGAGAACCATGACATGGAACATGCAATTTTATTTTTTACAAGCTTCTTAGGCTCAAATCTAACAAATTTCTACTAGTTGTTATGACTAGCCTTCAGTTTGTAAACTAATAGTTAATTTGCAATTTTAATATTTTACATGGGGATGTCTGTCTATTAATAATGATGATACAGGCAATGTTTTAAAACATGGAGGCGTGACGTGAGGCGTGACGTGAGGCGTTCCACTACCTAGAGGCATGAGGCGTAAGCTTCCCGAACACAAGGAAGCATAAGCCTCCTTATGAGGCATACGCCTCTTGCACCTGAGGTGTACGCTTCAGAGGTATCAGCGCCTCTGGCATACGCCTCAGGGCGTTTTGGGGGTACCTCACCTGGAGACACCCATGCCTTTTAAAACACTGGATACAGGTTTGGTCTTACCCTGGTGGAGGCATCACACTGATTTAGATCATGCCAGTTGTGGATGTCAGAGGGCAATGATCTGAGTTGAAAGCCCATATAATTTAGACACTAAGATGTCTAAATAACTAGAACCACTGCAGATTGACTCTGAGTTGGAACACATCACCCAGGCATTGACTAGGTGGCTGCTTAGGCATTTTTGGAGGCCCATCACCTAGGCAACCAACCATGTATGCAGTATACATATAAACATTATTTTTTATGATAAGTAGATGGAATGCAGTATACATATAAACATCTTAGTAGGGGCAGATAAATAGTTAGCCCTTTATATGTTGATATTAAGTGAGGTAATCCAATTTGGGTCAAGGGTAGTGTATAGAGTGAAAAATTAGGGTTCTTAATCCTTGTGCACATGTGTGTTTTCTTTTGAAGGATGCTCAAAAATCTTGTCATCTTTTCTAAAAATCAGGCATAGATTGATGTTTGATCATTTATTAATTTAATTTGCAGTTTAATAGTCTATAATTAGCAATTAATATGTGTAAATTTATTTATTCATCTTTGTTGGCTAGGCATCAACTCAATTTTCCAGGCCAAGACACCTAGGTGTCACCTAACCACCTCACCTACACTAACCCAAACAAAGTACAAATAACAAGAATTGAAGGAATCGATTGATCAACTCTACAAGGATAACACCATGATACAAATCAAATGGACTAGCTAAAAGAAATGACAACCAGAATATATTAGTTTCAATTCCAAAAATCAAATGGACTATCAAATGGAAGGAAGGAAGCATACCTGCAATGCTTTCAGCTGATACCACACCCAGTTCATTCTTTGCAGTAGAAAGATAATAAGCTCGAGCATCTCCAAGAGAGAGCTTATTGTGTGTCAAAGTTGACAAGTTTTACTTGTAAATTGTGGATTCTAATCAATGAATCAAATTGCATACAGCATACAACGAGCTTATGACAAGATTACTTCTACCCTAGTGCCTACAACTGTGGAGGGGGATCCATTAATTGGAATGTCAAATCCGAGTAACTTCAAAATTTTGAATCTTTAGCAGATCATTTACACACATGCACATATATAATGCAAGATAATTCGACTATTTTTAACAATTAGTTTTATTTTAAAATACTGGTCTATCTATTATATTGTGTTTCTTTTTGTGTATTGGTGTATTTGTTGGAGGAAGAGGGGAGAGAGATGTGAACAAAGTCACAAACATCACACTAAGAGAACCACAACATAAAAGGAGGGTAAAAGAGGGCACAGAGAGAGTGGAGAAGAGAGATTACATGAGTGAGTGGGTGTGGAGTTGAGGGTGGATGATGCATTTGATGAGGGCTGATTCTTAGGTGCTCACTAGGTCATTTGTTCTAAAAACACAAGTATACCTGGGTAGTTGCTCAGAGTTTCAATAAGACCAAATCATAATGTTCATGCTGCAGTAATCAACTAGAACTGTTTAAGACTGTTGAAATGTTGACACATATTGTGAAAGATGTTATCATGTTAATAATTAATACAGAAAAGAAATTGGCTGTAATCTTTTTATACGAAACGGTAACTTTTCATTAATGAAGAATAAAAAATACATAGGTCCTTTCCCCAAGAATAAGGAAATTGACCCCCCAAAAGAATACAAGATTACAATTCAGCCCAAAAAGTTCACCTTCACCCTAGCCACCCCTTTTTTGGCTGGGGTATTAGCCAAACCATTTCCTGACCTTCACACCCATCAAACAGTTACCTATCCCTCTAGATAGACTCTTTAAACTTTTTCTTTTTTCGATCTTTTTTTCGAGTGCAAATTTTCATGACATTTTTTTTTTATAATTAAAATCATCTTCCATTATTTAATGATTGGTTACATGAAAATCCCCTTAGAGACGCAAGGTGCCGCCTCTCCGAACAGTAAATACAAAAACTACAACAGAGATTACATGAATGTTGATGTTAAACAAGAGTTACAGTTGTGCCCAGAACAATGTTTCCCTATTTATTCCTTGTTTTGCCAAGACATCGGCAAATGCATTAGCTGATCTCCCAGCCCACTGTACTGTTATAGACATATTTCTTGTCAGCCATTTGAATTTCTTTAACTCGTTTTTGCAGCCCCAAGTGACATCCTCCGGATTATTTAACCAGTCCACCACTGTCTTAGAATCTCCTTCAACCAGAAGCTGCTCCACGCCCACTTCTTTTGCAAGAAGTATTCCTTGTATTGCAGCTTTGAGTCCCCTTACTATCCACCCTATCACCAACTTTAAACTTCCTCTTACTATCTACCCTATTACCAACTTTGAGTCCCGTTCCACTTCAACCTGCTGAAAACTGGTTGTATATTTTCAAAGCTATTCTACCTGTGAGATGTTGTGCATAGAATGAAAAAAGCAGATGTATTTATCAAAAAATCAGAATATCAATTACTTTTTGCCAAGAAAATCACAAACAAGAAAAATGAAATGTATTGCAGTAAGGTGATAACAAAATAACAGGCAAGCTCATCTTTACTTTGATGGGTGATAAAAACTTTTACTGAAGTAAATTACAAGGCTAGGGAATATTATCACCATACTATAGAAATAATCTATTGATGACAGATATCTAATAAACTTGCTACTTCTTGCTTGCACCCCAGTGGAAATGTCAGTCGTCTAAATATAAGAAATATGTTGGAAATGTCGGAAATATCGTATGGAAATATAAAAATCATAGACCTAGTGGAAACATTGTAAATATGCAAAATATAGAATGATATTTTATGAAATGATAAAAGAAGCATAGTCACACCCTTTTAAATTATTATCTTATTCCAAATCACTAGACAAAGCTAAGAAACTAAGATTATAGACAAAAGAGTACGTGCAGAAGTTGCCTTGTAAACCTTAAGATTCAAAGCTTCATGATAGAATTAAGCTCACAGAAAATGTATATGGTTGTAACAGATCAACCAAATAATCTATTAGACAAAGAAAAGCTACTATTTGACTTAATGCTTTAAATGAATATTTATGTTAGAGTTAGCCGATAAGGGTAGATTAGTCAACTCACCTTGGTTAAGTTATGAGCTTATGTGGCAGCCTTATTAGAGGTTCTCTGTCCCATACTTAAGTAGGGGCAGTTTAGTCCTTGTACATTTAATTAGAAGCCTAATCACTATTAAGAGGTCGACTGATAGGGTTTAGCTATCAGGTTTGACAGTTCTTTCATCTTCTTCTTCTTCTCTTCTTCTTCTTCTTCTTCTCCTTCTCTTTCTTCTTCTCCTTACTGGTTCGGACTATTGTAGCTACAGTAGAAACAATTTAGATAGCTCAAAGTGGTAATCATGTAAGTTAGGAGGGCAATAACATTGTTACTCCACATATCTACAATATTATCACCAACTTATGTGATAATACTATCTCTTGTACTCCATATAGTGCTGGTAGTGTTCACTAGGGAATATGTATGTCATGGAAACTATCTCTTGTACTCCACATAGTTTTGGTAGTGTTCATTGGGGAATATGTCGACTCCAGTAAAATTTCGTGTTGCTACCCGTGGAAATATTAGGGAAATTAGGAACACTTTAAACCATGGAAGCATTAACCAATGTATACAGAATATAACCTTCTTCATGTCAAATCAATGGTATTTCCACAATCACCATATAACACCAAAAAGACCCCAATGTTGTCAGAAGAGCCCTAGTCCCTATTTTATAAGGACTATTCACTTAATAGCCATCAAGTACAACGCCCCTCTCATTCCTAAACAATCCCTCCAAGGTGAGTAAGTCTTCAAATGTCAGCTAACAAAACACAGAGAGAATGTTGGTCCACTTATGTATAAAACCCAGTACTGCAGACTTATGGAGTACTAACAATAAGACCAACTCATCAGTATTCTCTGAGATATAACACTTAGCACATACTAGAGGTTCAAATGTGATTTTCAGAAGCTCTTCAATGATGTTTTTTACACTGGTGTCAAAGAAGTGCAAAAGGTTTAAAATGATCACCATATGCAGTGCATGGGAATGTCACTCTGTTGATGACGCTAATAGAGACCATCTTTACCATCAACAACACAGACTGCAGAAGTAAGTATATGTTTCACCCAGATCAGAGATCCATCTGCATCATTTATGGTAGAAATCTGATCGCTTGCAGACATGTTACTTCTTTATTTTCCTCCTTTTTGAGATCTATTTTGGGTTGATTACAATCTAAAACCACAGTCCATCATAATACAATTGAGAACATGGCCAAAAATATATTTTGCAGCAAAAACTGGATTCCAAAAAATTATATAGTTCTCACCCAGTATGACCAAGAGAACATGATGATGCTAGGGGCTTTAGATACTACAAATTGCAATTATCTCTCTTTGGGCATTAAGTGTCTACGGTCTACCTAAACCAAGCTTTTCCACCAAAACAAAAGAAAAACAAGAAAACAATGTAAGATGAGACATAAAATCAAAGATAAGTTAGTTAGTTCAAACACAAGGATACAACTGAAGCTCTAACAATGTCCCCAGGGCGGAAAGACAAGTGCATGTCCACTTTATCAATTTCTGTAGCTCGAACATCCTGTTGCCTATTAACATACAGCATCTTCATTTTAGTTGCAAGTACATCAAAAGAATACTCTAGCAGATATCCACTAAAAACTACCCAACACTAGAAAATTTTAAATTTGTACAAAGCACAGGATTTCTTTCAAGACCTGGTAGCTGATATCAATGTTTAAAAATGCAGATCTATAGATGCTTGAGGCCTAAGTTTCATGGGTTACTACATCAAATTAATATGAGGAAGAGTATAGAAATATGCAGAAGAGCATATTTTCATATAGGAAAGACATATAAACGATCATATAAGCAGAGGAGCTGAGTGCATTAGGAGCCTTATAGAAAATCATCATATTTTTATAAATCATTTAATAACTAAAAAATTCTAAATGTTAAATAATAACTCAAAATTGCTTTTAAATAGGTTAAAGCAAAGAGACAAGCACATTAACAGAGTTACATAAAAATCTACATGTGTGTACATACTTATAAGGTGCACATAAGAAGAATCTCAATGAGAAGGGGGTACAGGCGTATGATACATGGATACCTGTACAAGGTGCTGTATTGCTGTGCAGTCTTTCAATTCACCCATTCAAGTCAAAATCTCAGTCCTCAAAAGCATGTATATACTTTAGTCAATTAAACAATATAACTATTTTCCTAACAAATTAAAAATAGGTTCACCAACCATCGGAGAAAACGCAGGCTTTTAGATACTCTAAATTGTTTTGTGATGCAATATAGAAATCAGCATTCCATCTCCATGCTTCCCTATATATCCATTCACTAGTTTTTTTTTTAATCTGTAAGGTAAAGTATTTCATTAATAACAAAAGGCCAAGATACAATAGGCCCCTGTACAATGAGAAACTGTACAGCGGAATAGACAGTAAAACTCAGAAAATCCAGCCTCCAAACAACCCAAAAACACTATAAGCTCCTTACAAAAAGGAAATCAGGCTCAAAAAAAGAAGTGTGTCTGTTTTTAAAAAGTGGGTGATTTGTCATCCACGAAAACACCATCCCCATAATCTTGTTGAACACCTCTTCTTTTGGTTTCTGCCTCCCTTCAAAAATTCTATTATTTCTTTCACCCCACACTGCCCAAAAACAGCAGAGGGGAGGATACTCCAAGCTACTTTTCCAGCCTTGCTGAGGCCTCCTAAGAATCAAGCCTCTAGGAAACCCTTCACATCAGCCAGGAAGCATAATTTAACTCCAAAAAGCTCTAGCAGTCTTTCCCAAACCATTACATAATGTGAAGTCATAGTGCAGTAACAGATGGCTAGTATTCTCCACACTTCCATTACATAATGTGCAGTCCAGATCTGCCACCTCTAAGCCTCTTCTAGCTAAGTTCTCCTCGGTTAGAATCTCATCAAGCACTGCAGACCAAACAAAGAAAGCTAACTTTGATGGTACAAACCTCCATTCACTAGTAGAGCCTTCAGACTCAATGAATAAGACGTGTAATGGTCCCTTTTGGTAACTAGACTGCATATCTAAAAACAAATGTGGAACTTGTGACCTTTATTCTTCTAGGTTATCTTGGAATTTTGGCTTTACAAGGAGAGCAAAGAGGCAATTAGTTCATTGATCATCTTAAACAAGTTTTTGTTATCTTTGATGGCCATGACAAGACGGTGTGATCAGTGAATCCAATGGACCCACAACACCCAAATTAAGGCATTTGTATGAGAGTATGCTCTTAAGATAATCAACAGGTACAACAATTTTCAAAGGAAAAGGAAATCCCAGTGCCTCTCTCCTCATGTGTGCATTCTTTGCCATTATAGTGGGAAAGTGTTAACCATTTATTCCTTTCCTGTTCAGCACTCATTTGTGGCATATAAAACAAAATGAGGGAAATCCCGGGATGCAATACTATGGAATCTTTGGTGTAAAAAAGAATGCAAGAATTTTATAACTAAGCTAAAGATGAAGACACAATAATAGAAAATTGCAGGGTGAAGACAGCTCATTATGTGTTGAGAAGAAAAGAGTTTAAAGGCTTATCAATGGGTGACATAATAAGGGGATGAGCTGCTGATCAAAAATAATAATTACAAAGGGGATGAGCTTCTGTAGCAAATTTTGCCCATAGACAAGACCATGTCACTACCATTTGGAAAGCTCCAATGCTCCATGGATGAGAAGGTTAAAATTGAAATGTGATGAGTGCAGTCTTGGCAACCTGTGGCCCTCAAGAAAAGGGGATGTAGTTAGAGATCACAAAAAGTAACATTTTCATGAAATTCACCAGACTGATTGGGTTCAGAAATTCCTTGAGAGCTGAGACTCATGCTGTCATGCACTTTTTTTTTTGATAATTGAAAGATAATTTCATTAGTCAAAGAAGATAAGCTGTTACATGCTTCCCTTGGAGAGGTGCGAGGTGCAGCCTCTCCTAACGTTACAGTGAAATGAGAGCAACAAGAAAAAGTTTTCCTAGATACCCCTTGTTTGGCTAGAAAGTCAGAAAAACCATTTGCCGACCTACCCACCCATTGGACTCCAATAGTCATGTGTCTTGTTAACCATTTCATTGTATAGCAGCCAGCAGCTCAGCCCTTGTAGAATCACCTACTCCCACCTGTCCTGAAAACAGTGATAAGATATTGCTCTCTGTTTCGACTGCTGCTACAGTAACCCGAACCAGCAAGAGGAAGAAGAAGAAGAAGAAGAAGAAGAAGAAGGACAATGAAGGGACTGTCGAATCTGATGGGTTAACCCTATCAGTCGACCCCTTAATAGTAATTAGTCTCTAATTACTTGTACAAAGACTAAACTGCCCTTACTTAAGTGTGGGGCAGAGTATCTCTAATAAAACTGCCACATAAGCATACAACTTAACAAAGACAAGTTGACTAAACTACCCTTATTCGGCTCACTCTAACACTCTCCTTAGTTCTCAAGACTCCTCCAATCCCTGACAATCCCAGATTGCCTTGGCTGCTCCCTTCAAAATCCAGTTTTATAAAACCTTCCAAAGGAGGTGCCCAAACTACTGCAGATTTATTTTTCTTAGAGGACATGTTAGCTATTACAGCCCAACTTCCCCAAAAGTCAGCAAAGGAGAATGGGGTAAAGGAGTCTAGGTTTCTCAGCCAATGTATAACTCTAGTTAAAATACACTTCTTCACTGCTGAAATGGTTCTCTCCTCGTCAAGAAAGATTCTAGAATTCCTTTCTTCCCAAATAGTACACAACATGGCTGCTCTGAGGCATCTCCCTTTTCTTGTTGGCCAAACAAAGGTAGACAAGCTAAATAACAGTTTTACTTCTAAAGGCATCATCCACCTGCAACCAAACAAATTAGACATCCAATCCCACAAAGCTGCAACAAAGGGGTAGAAAATCAGTAAGTGGTAGCAGTCCTCACTATTGATTTTGCACAAAATACACCAATTTGGGGATAGACACGAAAAAGGCCTTTTCTTTTGCAAGTTTTCAAAAGTATTAATCTTCCCATGGTATACTT